GAGAATGTCGAAGCATTCAGCAATGGACAAATGGTCTCGATGATTTGGGGTTTCCCGATTGGAAATGATGGAGAGGGTGTTAAACACCGATGCCCAGTACTGCAGGGCCTCCGGCATCTGTGGCAGATCCTTGCTTACTGCTATATGTCCGAGGTTTGACAAGGTTCGCAACCCTGCCCAGTACTGCTCAGGATGCATGACTCTGAGTGCCGCGGACACGATGGCTGCTGGCCTTGAAATGGCTTTGAGGATATTCTCGCAGGAAGGTCCCTTCAATGATGCAGATACCTCCGGATCAGACACATTCTTTGGGATTGGTGAGTATGACTGCCGGAATCACCATCTCATCAGATCCTACCTCGTGTCCCTGTTGAAACCATGCCGGAGATAAATTGATGCATCCGGGAGTTGCCCCAACATCTTCCGAGCCCCGGTTGAACCACTTTTGATTAGTTCGCCAATTGCCATCAGCCCTTACACTTTTTTCGAGGCTTGGAGCGAGCAAATTGGTGGCTTCCCTGATTTCCTTCTGTAGGTTCCATTTGATATACAATATCCATTGAGTAACAATGTATATTACACACCTGGGTGGTGTCGGTCAGGGCGTCTGGGAGGTACCATGCGATGATGGCACCGGATGCATCGAGAATTGTGGCAGGTTCGTCGACCAACCTTTTGCCTTCATGGCCAGGAGGACACCTCTCAAGCAACCTAGCCTCTCTCTGTTCATTATGCCCGGTGTCCTTCGGGGAGATCAATTTGCTATATCTTGCAATATCCACCTGCATCTGAACTGTCATGCAGGAATTTGAATGATAAAATGAATTTTCCGAATCTGCAGGAAGACCCACTGGGATTTTTATATGCCTTTATGAGTACATCAGCCAAGCGATCGCACGCCATCACCAGATCAGTGTCTAGGTTGGGGGAAGGTATGACTGGGCCTCCTCCAGTCTTCTCTGCCTTGAATTTCTGTTCGGTATATTCCCCTGCTTCATAAGTCACAGTCAGGGCCCAAGTGCGCCAGATGTTTATACTATCAGGAGTGGAAGGGGAAGAACCGTTCATGCTGGATGTTAATCTTGGGAAATCAGACACTGAATGCTGAATGTCCGGACTTTGGTGTTAAAGGGGGTGGAGATAGAGAGGATCAGATAAGGGAGCCTGAGATAATTTTGGCTGTCAAAGATGTATTATTATCCATTGCTCAATGAAATACTACCTGATTGGAAGTGTGCTGGTCATCAGATATTCATTTGTCGACTCCCGGGTCCCGGAACTCAGAAGTCGGTACGGTTGACCCAAATTTGGGTGGTCGGAACTTGGCTTCTTGTAGGGAAACACAAGCCTCGCACCCCGGATTCCAAATTCTGCAAGACAACCTGTGCACCATCAAAGGCCATGTCAGGAGATCACCTGCTGCTCCGGGAACTCGGTAACTTTGATTTATTACCTCCTCTGAGTACGGTTGACTCACATTTTGGTGGTCGGAACTTGGCTTCTCGTAGGGCAACACAAGCTTCGCACCCCGGATTCCACATTCTGCAAGACAACCTACGCACCATCAAAGGCCATGTCAAGAGAGCACCTGCTGCTCTCTTCAGAAACATCTCAACTTCGGTTGGCCATTTAACACGGAAAGTATTAACTAAATTATGTGTTGAGTTCCGGGTCCCGGAACTCGGAACTCGGTACAGTTGACTCAAATTCTGGTGGTCGGAACTTGGCTTCTCGTAGGGCAACACAAGCTTCGCACCCCGGATTCCACATTCTGCAAGACAACCTACGCACCATCAAAGGCCATGTCAAGAGAGCACCTGCTGCTCTCTTCAGAAACATCTCAACTTCGGTTGGCCATTTAACACGGAAAGTATTAACTAAATTATGTGTTGAGTTCCGGGTCCCGGAACTCGGAGCTCGGTACAGTTGACTCAAATTCTGGTGGTCGGAACTTGGCTTCTCATAGGGCAACACAAGCTTCGCACCCCGGATTCCACATTCTGCAAGACAACCTGTGCACCATCAAAGGCCATGTCAGGAGATCACCTGCTGCTCCGGGAACTTGGTAACTTTGATTTATTACCTCCTCTGATTTGGTTGATGTACAACTACCTCAGCTCCATCATGTCTACAATTATGATACACATGGGCCCACCCATCTATATTTTATACCACCCTCGGCCCACCCGTCTAATACAACATCCCATACAACACCCTCGGCCCACCCGTCTAATTAATATGCGTCTGGGCCCACCCGTCTAATACAATATTTTATAATACCCTCGGCCCACCCGTCTAATTTAATATGTGTCTGGGCCCACCCGTGAATGTGATAACAAGTACCTACCCATCTATCTCATACACATCTACCTTAATACACCCATCTGCATAATATCCAACTACCTCGGCCCACCCGTCTACCTAATATTCATGTACATCGGCCCACTCATCTACTCTATATATTCCCTGCATGGGCCCACCCGTCTCCATCGGGAATAATTTGCCTCCCGGCCCATCCGTCATAGTCGAGGATATTTTTATCATGGGCCCATGGTCCGCTGGCCCGTATCATACGGGATATTATGCATGTCCGTTCCCTCGTATTATACGGAGATAGGTCACTGTAATATGTGGCAGCCTTAGTACCATCGCCGAGTCTGGCACAAAAGTAAGTGTCCTCTAATCATGCAATTTATGGGATGTGCTGGTACTCATCAGGGATGTGTATGAGGTTGGCGTCTGGTGAGTCCTTCTACTGTTTTAATCCCTTTGACAAGTATTCTAATCTATCCCAGATCACCCTCCATCATTCAATTTCTCATGTACACGCCCAGTCTCAGGTTCAGAAATTTCAAACCCAAGGTCCAGTTCAAGTTCCCAATCCACCAAGTTGAGCTTAGGTTCATGCTCATCCTTGTCTTCACACACAGTACCATCTCCACTTCTGACGCATCTGTCTCGGGTCTTTGCCCCCCACAATACAGTTCAATGTGCCTTCTATTCAATTGAATGTATCTACATTCACCCAAATAGGTTCTTTTGTGACTCTCTATGGTCACCCAATTTACTAACTGTTAATTCAATAGGTCCCCTGACCGATTCCAAGCTTCCAACACAGCTTTCAAGTTTACGCCCGGTGGGTGAGCCTCCACTATCTGTCGCTGATATATGTATTATTTTCTGCACTCGCTGTCCTTTCTGGGATGCTCATGTCAAAGCTCGAGACAGCGATCGAAGAAGGAGACAAGAGCATAAACGAAATCTTCCTGGAGGTGGTGAGTTTAATCTCTCAATATAAGTCACCCTCAAAACAAAAAGGTTCCACACACGTTTCAGAAATAAAAGCCAACTCCAAAAATGCCGAAGCTGCCCTCCTTGTAGTCCTTGAAAGCAGGCTCAAGTCGCACATCACTATGCTCTCCCATCTTGCTCGGGATGCATTTGGCTATACCCGAACTCTCCATACGCTGTTTGGGGCGCTCGTCAAGTGGGAACCTCATGCTCGTATGATCCACCTTAATTTGATCCTCCCAGTGTGCGGATCCTTCAAGCGGAAGGTGCCCAGCTACTCCAAGATCTGAGTCATCGAACTCAAGTTCTCCTAAGCGGAACATATTTCTCAACTTGGGAGTTACCAGGTACGCCTCGTGTATCCAATCCAATCATTGGTAAAATCTCGCTTCACATGCCTCCCTGCAGCCATGGCCCTGGATCCTCCATCAACCTGCAATGTTGTGTCCTCACACTTGCTGGCTTCAGTAACCGTAGATGGAGTAGAGGCTGGCCAAAGAGATAGGAGTTGGATATACTGAGATGTGCAGAGCCTAGGCGGCGTACATAGAAGGAAGATTGTACCGCATCTCTCCTTCAACCACTGTTACTTGTAAATGAACAATGGCCCATGTTAATGCTGAACTACCCCTTCCATTCCAAACAATTGTGACAGCCTTTTCACATCTTAAAGAAGCAGTGCGCATTGCCCTACAAACACAACTTGGCGATGAAGCACGATTGCAAGAGCAGATACAAGTCTGCCTGCAGTCACAGCAAAGCATCACACAGGTGCGTGATCTGACCTTTAGAAGTAACCATGCAACAGAATTCTTGTTTGCCCTAGCACCATGCTATTATTCCACCCGTGGATAGAGATATAATGGAGCAAAGTATTCAAGATATGATTGCTGACCTAGGGGCAGCTAAAACTGTGTCTTCAGATGTGCCTGATGTCGAGCCAACGGCTCACACTCATGTTGTGCATGGGATTGGTCGAGGGCGTCCAAGAATGATGATAGACCCAGAGGTGCTTGCAGTGTCTTATCAGCTCCGAGGGCCCACAGAGCTTGGTGAGATATTTGGTGTTTCTGCTCGAACTGTCCGACGCAAGGCCCTCGAACAGGAGTTAGTGCAACCAGGGGAACCTGTTTATATCACATATATCGATGAAGATGGTCAAGCTCATCGAGTGTACCAGTCATCAACTGGCTCACAGTCTACACTCTCAGACGAGGAGCTTGATGCTACTGTGTTGCACATTCTCAATCTCTTTCCAACATTCGGTAGACATATGATTGATGGGCACTTGCTGCACCTCGGGCAACATGTCCCCCACAGCCGTGTCCAAGCTTCTTATGCTTGTGTCAATGGACCCCCTGTGGCAGCATTTGGAGTGCACCGTATCTCACATAGGGTGTACAACATCGCTGGATATAATTCCTTGGCGCATCATGATGGCCAGCATGGTGAGTATAATATATATACACACAGGGTGACCATACTGTACCTATACTTATTTTAATTGCTTTCTAGGCCTGATCCACTACAAAATTGTCATTCATGCCTTTATAGATGGTTTTGCTAGGTTTATCACTGGGATTCGAGCCAGCAACAATAACCATGCGGCAACAGTATTTGACTTGTTTCTTTCATTGATTGAAAACCATGGTCTACCATCTCGAGTACGTGGTGATCATGGTGGCGAGAATGTTCTTGTTGCTAGATATATGGAGGAACAGCGAGGTCAAGACAGAGGGTCATATATCTGGGTGAGGTAAGACTTCAATTTATTTCACTTTGAATCAACGTAGTTCAACATTACTGCAGAAGCATGCATAATATCTGCATCGAGCAGTTGTGGGTGGACTGGACCAGCATGGTCGGGTCCAAATGGAAGTCACCCTTCCAAGATCTTGAAGTGACTGGTGGACTCAATCCCGATAACACGGCCCATATTTGGCTCCTACATCACCTTTTCTTACCTTTGATTAACCACAAGGCGATACAATGGGCCAATGCATGGAACATGCATAAGATGGCCTTACCAGATGGACAGTGGAGTCATTCACCCGCTGATCTTTGGTGGTTTAGCATTTTACAAAGTGGAGCACATGGATTTGATGCTGCAAGCTTCCAGCCGCCCGAATGTTGATGAAATTGATGAGTATGGTATCGACTGGGAGGCATATGAAGATCAGCACATACAGGCACATCATACAGAGGGTAATCAGCCAGACCACCTAGGTCACAATCCCTTTGTTGCTCACCGACCTGATCATTTCAACATTGTCGAGGTCGAGGAGCCAAATTGTCCCCTGTCCCCCCAGCATCTCACTATCTTACATCAGTATATTGTAAATATCCCCGACTCTACCATGACAGAGAGGAAGATACTTTGGATGGAGTCGATGCAAGTGTGCGCACAGTTTGTTTCGTAAATAGAACTTATACATGACGAGGATTCAGGCCTGAACCTCACAACAGGCGCACAAGACGATGTTCAGAAGTTGTTTCAATTGAAAGTAAAGATATCGGAAACGTAGGGTAAACATGTTCAAGCCCTGACATGAGCAAGCACCGAGGACTATACAGCCGTCAAGGTACAAATGAAAACTACTCGAGAATCTCCGCATTTCAACCTATATGAGCAACCGCTCGCTGCATGCGTGCCAGTTCCATGGGAAGCATAGAGCGTGTTTCAATCTTACTCGAGAGCTGAGTGAAGTGCAGTTGATGGTTATAGACGGAAAGACAGGGAGATATTATTGAATGCTTACCAGCAAACCAAGCATGCAAGTCAGCCTTCATGTCCTCATCAATCTTATCCATCATTGACTGATACAATTCGATGGCTTCTCCAAAACTACCTGCTCGAAAGAATGCGCAACACTGTTGTTGCTTCGCAGTTTGCCACCAGGACTTGAGGTCCCAGCCAAAGAGCTGTGGAAAACACGCAACTGAGCTCGAAAGAATATTTGATTGAGTCATATCAGCTCACCACGACAAATTCATCGTACATCAAATGAATTGGCGATTTGTAAAAGAAAGTGCTAGCATTGACAACAGCAGTGAAGTGTTCAACAGCTTCATTATGGCGCACGCCATCCAAGGCAATGTTTCCCAGTTGGACACATAGATGGGCCTGGTGTACGAAAGGCAATAATCAATGACCACACATGAACCTGGTGTGATTGAGCTTACCTCCATGAAGGGATGTCTTCACTGTGCTGGGATCTTTATGGATGATACGACTGTTATCTTACAAGTGCTGTAGTATCCAATACAAAGGTGTGTGCATATAGGGTAATGGATGCGGATTGTACAGATGCCAAGTGCCAGAAATGCTGCATTTGTAAATTATAGATAAAAGTCAGGAAAACATCGAGCCCTGCATCATCACAGATCCACGATCTCCAGTGGGATGTCTTTCATTTGCACGTGCCCCTTGTCTGCGTCCTAAACAACCAATTAATAGCTGTGGACGACCCACTCAAGAAGCTACGCACTGTGTAGACCAGTACCTCTGGGTCCGGTGTCATGCATGGTATGTGATTCATACCATGTCAGATATATACAGAGAGTGATAAGGAAGATATGAGAGACTGTCTAGCCCTCTCTCACTGAGTTACCTTTCTATTTTTCCTTTATTTCATTGTCTTGTATTTTATTTCTCACTTTTCAGACTTATTTTACCTTGTATTTTTATGAGCATGTGACCTTCTGTTTATTTCTCATTATTTATTTTTATTTGGCTACTTTCAGCCACAGATTTGTTTGTCAAAGTTTTGTATCTCTATTTATTTCTGACTGTTTATTTTTATTTGGCTTCTTTCAGCCACCAGATTTTATTTGTCAGCACATCATGTGACTGGGGAATATTCTGGTTTGTAACATTATTTAAGCTGACTCAACATGTTTAGTCATGATTGGTCATGCTTTGTAACAACATTCACATGACTCATCATGTTTTGTCATGATTTGTCATGCTTTGTAAATTCTTTGTAAGATTACACTGTATTTGTAATGTACTTAGTAATAAGCTGATTCATCATCTGGTTTGTAAGCCACATTCTTACCAATCCATCTGATAAATCATGCTTAGTAAGGGGGTTCCCAAAAGGTATAAAAGGACCCCATTTTCACCCATAAAATATAACTTCCCATTTTTCATTCTTCTCTCAAACTGTGTGAGAGTACATAAGAATAAAAGTGCAGGCAATGTGCCTTGAAGTAAGACTAAGACACATTGTTATTCTATTCTAAAGTTATATACTACCTTACAGGGGTTGACTATATAACTTTCGTTATTGTTATTCTACTCTAGGTTATATACTACCTTACAGGGGTTGACTATATAACCATTGAACAGCTCTCATTCTAAGCTTTACGTGTATACATAAGACTCTCTCTTTCAACGGAAAGTGAGACACATATCTAAGGACGACAAAGTTGAAACAGACTTTCATAGGTTGAAACAAACCTAACGAATTTATCCAGAACACAGAACATTCCACAACACTTCATATCAGACTACACAAGAAGAGGACAACAAACTAAATCCTCCCAAGAACTCACCACATTACCTCCCACGAAGTAGAAAAGTCGGAGACCGTGGACTTAAGGACTGGCAAGAAGTCTTCCCTGTGTCTAATTGTGTTGTCATTATACACAACTTTTATATAAGACCCTTAAGTAACAAGACACCAGGTGGAAGGCTTCCTTGATATTGCAGTCCAAAATTGTTTGCAAGCCTGGGGGGTCGATGAGGCGGAAAATTCAAAAGCTAACCGTGAAAAGAATTAAGACACAAGTGGCATAAGCAATGTGGTACGCACTTGGGAGTGAACTTTGGGGCACAAACAACGGCAAAGGACTCCGGAAGCATACACTGAAATGAGTCGTAGCGTGGCCAGGTCTATAGATGTATAAATTCAAGATGCGAGGACACTAACCGGGCAACTGAGCATCTGCGCTACAAGCTGGCTGCTCTGGGGGTGGGAAGCTTTCGGCCAACAATCGAAGGGCGCCAATCACGTACGGAGTTGTTTGTCGAAACGCACGAGATATATATGAAGATGCTGTACTGGGGAGAGCCAGCGAGGAGTTGTCTAGAGCACGCCATGTCTCATTCTATAAACAGAAGCTTTGTGACATTTGAGTGTATCCACCATGCCAACTGGCTGGTATGTACCAATGCTAAGCACTCCACAACTACAGTTGCCCAGGCTGTCATCAATGGTGCACAATTCACAACCGTAAACTTCGTGCTGAGAACCTAAAAAGACACATGCTGAACACATCTGATTGAATGAGTGGAGAATTGAACTGTACCGTCTCATCTAATACCTCATCAAACTCCAAGCTGCCATATGCAGCAGCTTCATCTGGAGGTCCATCTGGAAGGAGCTCATTTAGTAAGTCGTCGTCCAGCTTCACCTCCAGTAAAATGTCACGGCTCATTCCAAGCACCACACACATTCGAACTTTTGAAGATCATGAGGGGCGCATAAGGGCAGTCGCACGGCATAGAGTGTGAATGTTGATATTAGTACAGAGAATGCGAAGATGTTTGGGAGAACTTGCCATGGTGTGAGTGGTACTTGACCCAGCCTAAACAAGGCTTCCGACATGCCATGGCTGGGTCTTGAGCTAGCTCGACATGGTGGTGCAGAGTATAGAAAGTGGATCGAACTTGACAGGGTGAGGTTGAGGCTTGAGTGAGCCTACACAGTCAGACAACAATTGACACTATCTGAAAACCAACATAGATGAATGAATCAGAGGTAATACAAAAATACAGGACTGATGTGCAAAATGTATACTAGTAGTGTGGATGCAGAGGACAAGCACTGCAAATTTGACGAGAAGTGAATACTGCTGAAAGTCAGACAAAGACAAGTCTCAGTGTTATAGTTAACACCACTATATTGATAGTACCTAGAAGACAAGTCTATGAATGAAATACAGTAAGAGACGGATGGCGTGCAGACAGAACATGATACATACCCCTCAGCATTTTTCGGGTGATGGTGTTGCGAAATGTCTAAGTTGCCGACCACATCAATTTCACCTGACCCCCACATGCTGTTCTGAGTCTCAAATCAGCTATTCTGGACACGTCAATGTGAGACCAACACAACTTCTCCAAGGTAACAAATAGAGGGTGTATGTACGCATACCTGGAAACAATGTGAGTTTCAAGATGCATTGATTTTGATTTTGTCTATCTAGATATTCGTAAGAAACGAGCTAGTTGATCATGGCAGCCTGGGCCCTGGCTGGTCAGGAAGCAACAGCACAAACAATGGGTCTGTCATTTTCTCAAACTCCGATTGATCTCGCTGTGCTGCCACTGCCATTACTGTTGTCCCAGCAGTTGCAGCAGTGGCGCAGCATTTTCACAATGCCTGTCACACTTGTGACCTCGGCATTACTACAACGGTCTGCAACCTACAACCATTTTCATCGCTTCAAGTCCTTGAGGACGAGCGCTTGAGCTGTGGTGCAAATCAAGATCTGTGTGAGGTCTCCGTGCCTGGCTGCCAGATCTGTGTGAGATCTGGTGTGCCCACAGTTCATCGCCCTTCAAGGCATGTTCCACCATTCACATTCAATCCTGCTGTATACATGGGTCCACGACTCTTTGCTATTGATCAGTACACCTCCAGGTAAGACACCACTTTACATATTCAGGGTATACTGAGCAGCGCGTGTCTGATATGTAAAAGGGTGTAGTGCTGTAGCCAAGTCGTTGGTACCAGCATTTTTATTTGCTGCCTTGTGGATCAAGTACCTGCTGTTTCACTCCATAGGTTTATATTCCAGCTTGGAGACATTCAAGTTACTGATCATTTCTCCTCCCTACACCGTACCATGTCTACTGCAGTTGTAACAGACCAAATTTTGGTGTCACAAGCAGCTGCCAAGCTTACCGGCACAGACAAGACATTATTGAATAATACTACTGCCATCCCTTGCCCAGATTCCCGCCTCCTAGACCCAGTCATCCGTCACCGAACTCTCTCCAACAATCAATGGGCCAAGCGGTTCCGCTGAGATGCTGCTTACGATGCAAAACATTGGAAAGACAATGCTCCCACCTACCATATGAAGGGTGTCTGGCTCGAAGACTTCATACGGGGCCCCAAGAATACAGCCAAGGGCATGGCTGAACGTACTATGCGAGAGATGTCTACCTGGGAAAGTGATGGAGCTTCGGGGATATTCCTCGATGAACATGATCAGCCCTTGGTGGCTTATTTTGCCCGAAGGCGTTGTAGCACTCAGGCTCGCGCTGAGCACGTATTCAGCTAATTCCCAATGCATGTCAAACACTCGAATCACTTCCCAATGTTATCCGACACTCATCCGCTCAATCCGACATTTACCCGCTAACCCGACGTTAACCCGATGTAGTCTGACGCTAATCCAGCGGACCTGACGTTTCCCGCGCATCGGACCCGATATTTTCCCGCACACTTATCCTCCCTATGTCCTGTCCTGTCGTATCTATCCCCACTAGGTGCACAGTTATCTGTTTTCACATCGCTAACACAGTAGACCGCGTTATTACATGTCCGCAGTACCACATGTCTTATTACATAGGACATTGGATCCGAAAATTACCACTACTACTTTCGCCTATAGCGCTCCGAAATTCTACATAGACACTATATATTTTGCATGCCTCCTACTTACTTATTTACCTTTCTACCTCCGAGTAGGAGGAGGTCATTAGATATTTGTAGTTCTTCGCTGAATTCCGCAAATATCATCCTTTCATTATCCGAAACACTCCGAAAATACTGACAGTAACCCGCCATTCACTATCCCCGACATTCATTACATTCCCGACGCTAATCCGACGAAACCCGATGAAACCCGCTAACCCGAAACCCGATGAAGGTGAGGAATCTTGACTGTGGGTGAAAACACTTAAAGAAAGGGGGCTCTACAGCAAGACCTGGATACGAGAATACAACTCGACCCAAAGGACAGCTACTGAGAGAAGTTCCTCGCGAATAAGGTGGAGGGAAACTCTGTCAACTAGACAGGCACTGGTAGACGCGGGAAAGTAACGCGCGCGAAGGCGCACGTAGGCGATGCGAAGGCGCGCGAGATGCGCGCGTGAGCGAGAGATGCGGAGGGTACGCGCGTAAGCGGGCGCGCGCTTGAACGATGAAGGAGAGGAGTCCTTAAGAGAGTAGCAAGGGCACAGGTGTCAAACAGTGGAGGAGTATAATCTGATTTCTAGTATTGGAGGGAGAACTATACACTTTGCAGTATATCAAGATAAGGGGAAAGTAAGTACCAGAACCGAAGGAATCCTCCCTTTATTTAAGAAGGGAGATTACGCTATGCGACGCGCTTCCGAGCGCGCTCCCGAACCGAGTAACCATATCAACTTCTAAATATATTCTAAGTTTAAATAGACTCTCTGTATGTAAGCGCGGAGGTCGGACCGAAGGTTCGTTAATTCAATGAGAGAGATAAAAATAACGCACCAGTAAATCAGCAAGGACAAAGGACAGAGGGACGGACGGTAGGAGCGTGAAGGCCTATGGAGCGCGCGTGCGTGTGTGATGTGTGAGTGAGGCGCGTACGTAGGGCGCGCGCGCGAGAGCGCGAATGACTGGTCCTTAGGATGTGAGCTGATACAGGTAGGGAATTAAATGGGTAAGAAGGCCGCATATCCGGCATTGAGAGGCGCGAGTCTCTACACCAAAAACATCGGACCCGACGTTTTTACCTTCGGACTTTGTTTCCCGTGCTTCGGACTATCTTCCTTTTTGTATAACTAATCATTCTAATACCTTACAGTGAACCCCTCAGGTCAAACACACTTGTCTTGAAAGTATAGCAGACTAGGCTGTGCAGACCACAACATTTTATATTGCTGATTACTTACTTCGTGTAGTGATCAGCAATTGTTGTCTCGTTACAGCGTGCTGGGCCTTCTCCAAAATTGGTGAGTTGACATCGGCAAGAAATGACTTATAGTTTCAATCACCAATCTTACAGAGCCGCTTTGCTTACAATTACTACATTCCTGGGCCCAAAGCTCCTTCGCCTATGGGAAGATCCTCTAATGATTTAGATCGGGCAGCTCAAGAGGGCAAAACGGTATACTTTGATGGTATCAAGGTGAGTTTTCAGTAATTCTGTTAGATGACAGGCAACTTACTGCAGAGGATAGGATAGTGTGCTTGCCAAGACCGCAGTGGCCACACAAACCCTCCTCCACCACATAGACGTCCATAAAAGCCCCCGGGATGGACACCATGACAAGGAAAACCACCTCCTGCAATACATTAAGGTTGACAGCACCAAGGACTCGGAAGACCTACGTGAAGATGGCATATGTAGGAGCTTCATCTATGCGGGTGCTGAATATGTCTATGAAGACTGCACCTTTGCATCTGAGTGCACCGGTACCAGACACCTAGTACATGCATGGCCAGATCAGGGCAGTGATCCTACCGTCGTATGTATAATCTATCCTGCCTCTACATTACTTACACATTTTCTAGCACGGCCTTCATCCCTCAGCTGACATGGTCTCTAATGCTAGTGGAGCCCTACATGTCCAAGCATATTTTGATGATACCCAGGAGTTGGCCATTCTGTTGGGAGAAATGTTCCGGGTATCATTTCCGGCTTTCTACACCAAATATGAAGCTGCCTTTCTGGCCGGCCGTTGGACAATAACTGATCCAGGGCCCCTCCTTGGAAGAGTCCTGGTGTGGAAACTGCAGGTGATGCCCCATCAGGACAGCTGAGATGCGGGTCCATCTATCATCTTCAACATGGGTAAATTTACAGGCAGAGAATGTTACATAACCGATCTTAAGCTCAAACTCTCGTAAGCCTTTCACTTTGTATAGTTTATTGGACTCATTCATTCTAGATACTGTCCTGGGGATGTCATAATTCTCATGGGTGGAGCCCTCTACCATGGGATAGGACCGTGGAAGCCACTCCCTGGCATTACTGAAGATGGCATTAAACCAGGACGAGTATCTAATGTTTGGTTCTTCCCTCACTCCTCATTCCAAGTCTTGGAAAACAAAGAGCCTGGCTGGGCACTCAAGTCTGCTGGAGGTTTGAGAGGAACTGGCTCAGAGTTGGATTCTAGCGACTGGGACTCAGAGTCAGACTAGAGTCTCAAAGGTATCACCGTTCTCCCTTTGTCATAGTACTCGACCAAATTTTTCTGATGCTCATTTCAAACTTATGCTTTAACATCGATAACATGGACATACTACATAGGATTACATATTTGTCCATACTAGAAGCATTGTTCCAGTACTAGAGCAACAGGCTGTCTATTCTATTGAGTTCAATCAAAGCAGATGGTGCCATCTGCACGAGCGCTACTATTATTTTCATTTGTACATCTTACTCTCCTTCATGATTCAAGAACTTCTTCCCATAGGTCATGAACTATCCGCCTATCATCTCATTTGTGATCAACCACAATGCTACTGGCAGCCTCAAAGACACGACTGCAAACCTGAAGAACGGCCAAGGATGGGTCTTGATTTGATCCCTTCGCCTTGCCTCACGGTTGACCACGTCACCACACCAATTGCTGGAGATGGTTTCTGATGCCCGTCTTGACTCCTCTCCCAATACCTCCGATCATCAAATTTCACCATCCCATTTTTGCGTGCGACTTACTGATGCACTGAAATTTCACGAATTCGTACCTAAGTGTGTAATTTTCTTATATACATATACTATGCTAATGAGTCTTCTAGAATCGCTTGTCATTGGATGTTCCCTTGTGACACACCTACTCGCTGGACGTCTCAGTGAGTTCTCCATGTGCTCTGTCGAGTGAACATTTGCTGACTCGTTCTCATCATCCAGACGTTATGTCTGCATTCCTAACCAAGCAATCATATGTTGTCGCACAAGTCTTGGAACCCAGGATGGAGCAACTTCCCGCTGCAGAGAAACCAGTACGTGATTGTTTTTTATTACTACTCGATGACCTGATGCACTTCTTCAAAGTGCGGACGCAATGATTCAGAGCTACAGCAATATTCTGGACGGTCTCATGTGAGCGGCTCGTGACACCGTTGTGATCGTCCACTATGGGTAAGAGAAGCTTCACTCATATGGTAATATATATCAAATTACTCCGCCTTGCCTTAATCTGTATTATATTCAGCACCATCAAATATATTTAGCACCATCAAAAGCTGCTTTGTGTATATTAGCAAAGTCTTTCAGAACGACGAGGTGTGCAAGATACCTGTGAGACATTGCAAAGTTAGTGAGCCTATTTGGAATCTGATTCACCTCCAAGAGGCATTGCCATCTCGTATGCCTTCATACCATATGGTCCACTTGCTTCTCATCTTCTCTGCTTGGTTCCGCCGCATGTTAATCCTTCGGGAACTTGTCAGTTTTGTAAAGAAGTAAGAAGGTGATGCCAATCTGGTACCAACCCTTCCGATCACTCACTGGCACTAGAAACTGACAGGCAAGTGAGCAGCATCTTGTCTCTTTTCCCCCCACCTCCGCACACCCACCTGCCTACAGCCCCTTTCACTAATGTCTACTAATTCTGTTGTCCCTGCCAGATGTTGTGCATGCAGTGATGATTGCGCTGTCTATACACCCTGTACACCATCATATTCACAGGTAAGCTATGCCTTGGAGGTTGATGCCCGCTCACTGGCATTTTCTAGTCTGATTGCTATTGTGGGCATGGACTTACCCAACATCTGCCACCAGCTCCCAATTTCCCTCCTCGTGGAGGCCTTCAAATCAATAATGTTATGTGCCTAGGTTACCGAACTGTACGCAACGCTCCAGTCAGTTTTCCACTTTCTTGCCAGAACATTTCAATCCTAAGGTTGGGCGGTCACTAGATATCAGATTTCCGTCAGCCGTGTGCTGGCTGTACAATGGGCTATAATGCACACAGCCCATTAGCTTCTACACCTCCTGCTGTCCTATCCACCATGTCCAGACCCCCATCTGCCAGTACTCCAAATTCTCATAGCACTTCTGCATTTTATCAGCCACTGTCTGCATCTTCACAGCCACATAGAGCCCTTCACTTTCCCCCTGTTGCCGGGTCACCTCTGGCTCAATTTTCTTGTCCTGCACCTCTGCTTACGACTCGCTTGCCTGCTACTTCATCATCTTCCCAGCCTGCTATGTCTTCATTGTCACCACCTGCAAGTTCTTGGCCATCTCTTCCACATTATGCCCCAATCGCTACTCCATATTCTCGTAATCCACGCGTTAGTGCCACTCAAGTTTCACCCAGTTTTGGTGTACCTCATGCAGGCATTCCGATGTCTACTACAGCTGGTCACAGTCATGTTCGTTCTAATAGGAAAACTGCCATGCCATACCTCATACCAGTGAAGCAGGTCTCTGAGAAACAGGTCGACATTGTCATTTTCCCTAATGATGTGAGTCTGCCAGTAAGCAGTAGTTTATGCACACTAACTTTTAGATTTAGATTCATGCTGCACCTGCCGCTCCTGACAGTGTTGACGACATCTTTGAAGATACTTACCTTCGTTTTCCCCGCCACATTCATGTTGGGGAGTGACTTGCCTCTGATCTGAATGGCCTGCAAGATTTTGGCCTTGTGCACCGCATACCTCTTACTGCATCCTCGCGCAATGAAATCATAATGAATCAAGTGTATAATTCTGTTCTCACCATCTCGACATCTCACAACATCCAATTTCCGCCAGAGCCTGAATGCTCTTTTGATCTTGACACATCTGCACCCAACCGCGAGTTTTGGATCCAGTTTCAACATCTTCTATTTCACCTTCTCAAGATCGGTTACCAGATGCCTAAAGGGCACTATCTGTCCTTCGACGCTACTGAAACGTGGCAAGACTATGCCTTTCATGCACTATCCAAACGTGTCAATCGAATCCAGCATCCCACCGATCCCAATGTCGGACTGCTTATTATTTGTATGTATAACGTTGTTCGCTCCACGTGCACTTACTGACTTTATGTAGGTCCTAAGTATGGGCCTCTTATTGGACCCATCCAGCAGCGCAGCACCTAACATCACATGTGTTTCGCTGATTGAGCATTCAAAATCCTCATTGATGCAGACGAGGAGGAGTTAGAGTATCAAGGCTTGGAACCTGGTGACACTGTTTCTGTTGAGTGTAAGGCATTCTGCCCATTGATAGCTGGCACAAGCCGACACTCTCAATGGGCTCCTGCTTCAGTCCCAAGTCCAATTGATAGTGATGGAGATCTTTATGCACCTCCAACAATTCTCGGTACCCCTGACGATCAGCCCCAGGTGCTTCCTGATATATCCTCTCCAGCTACCTCACTTTCGTCTATCTTAAGTCTGTCACTTAATTCTCTGCCAGCCCTTGCAAACCCTCAGACCTCTTTCTCTACTGTCATCGACCTGACCTTGCCATCCCCCAATCATTCCTCACACCTCCCACACTCACCCCTGCACTCGCCCATTGTTCGCCATGATTCCCCACACCTCCCACTCCCACCCCTCCAATTGCCTATCATTCGCCATCAATCTGTATATGCGTCACCTACTCCACCTCCTTATGAGACCTTACTCAAGGTCGATGATGCCATCATGAGGGCCTTTGGCAGTGAAGTTGAGCACGGCATGGTCCATGTTCGTGGTCCAACTGTCAAAGCCTGTGCAGAGGGCTTGATAGATCTTTTATGTCAACAGCAACGCGATTCTGACTCTCCATATGCACATTCTTACCATGTCAACGAGCGGTTTTCTATCCAGCCCCATACTCAGAAGCTCTCTGACATATTTGGAAAACACTGGATCTTTCGCGCGTGAGTTCTGCCTACGCAATGTAAATTCTCAATACTGATATCGTTAAAGAGGCTATAAGATGGTGCCCATGATGCTTCTGGTGAAGGTGTCATGAGACAGGTGTTGACAGAGGCCCTCGTCCTGTGCTTGAGTGAATCCTGTGGAATCACCCAGACTCTCGATAAGAATGGCTTTCATGTCCTGCATATCCGCGACTTTCCTTCACCTAGTGACATCGAGCATGCCTTTGCATTGGGAGCCATTTGCACTATGATGATGATACGTGGGCACATTGCGCCTGATCCCATCTCTCCTGCCTTACTTGTCACTGCATTTGCTGGTGTTGAAGCTCTTTCTGACAAGAGCTGTGTCGAGGCATTATTTCCTGATCATTATGAGGATCTTGGTCTCCTTCCCTCCTCACCGCATGATCTGACCACTTCTGTCATTTCAGCCTCCCAAAGGACCCGCCTTCAACGCTTTATTCCCAGCTTTTCAAGGTTTTTCAGGCTGGAATAAACATTCAACTGAGCACAACGCACCAATCAGTAATCCAGGTGAGCAGATCTGCATTGATATTAATGCAAGTTTAATAATAAACTATCATTGAGATGTTGAAATCGTCCTCCAAGTGGCTCTTATCACGTTGCTATCATCGGCGCATCACTAATGGAGAGCAAGTAATAAGCCGCCTGGACTTTTCTGTGTGCGGTGATTTCATATTTGAATCTGTAACCGCTCCTCCTTTAGTGGTGCAGCTCCGGTCTGTTTTTGAGCACTATTTCCGTGGCATTGGACATCCGCAACACCCTCAAATGGCTGATCTTGTCAATGAGGCTCAACAGGACATTGATAATGCTGACCCTGCCTATCGCGCCTGCCGCTTTGTGAAGCTTTTGCGTGGAGTTACCTTGCTGCCTCCACCAGGGCAATATTTCACTGTGCGTCTTCTGTTCATTCATCTCATTGATATTTTTATCTCACCAATTTGCCTAGATTTATGTCCATCAAACTATACCGGAGACCGTCTGCTTTGCTGGTCAATATCATGTAAGTTTGAGCTTGCTCTTGCTGTACTAGTGTCTTTCGCTCAGAGTTATACTTTAGCGCGATGATGACCTGTTGCCTCCAAGCATACATGCTTGCAACTACAGTATGGACATGTGGTTCAACAGAAAGATGATGCATATTCTGGGTAGATCACCTCTCAGCAATAGCGATATCGCTGAATTGGAGTTTATGCTTCATTGTGTCGTGTTTGATGCCGGTCAGGACAGCTTTACCTAAGTCTACCTTAGTGCTTCTGAGCTTCTAACTATCCTTATACATACACTGTCATTACTACGATACATTGCAACCTGATTGCTGCAATTCAGTTATATTTATGAAACTCTGTAAGTGGAGCCTCGACAACAACACTAGTTGCTGCCACAGTCTGATCCCGAACCTCCAAAATAATAGACTGGCGATTGCCGCCGCTACGATGTTATAAGTTGTCATACCAGAAAAGTGTTTCGGCGCATGGCAAATGTTTTTGTCATGCAAGCAAAGTTTGGTAACATTTTTGAAAGTTTATTTTTGTCCAGTGGGGTCCCTCATATTCTAGAGGCGCTGGCTGCAGGATAACAAACGAATTAGTAAGGTACAAATTGCTTTGAGGATATGTGATAGATGTGAGGTCTAAAAAACATTGAAACACTGCAAATATTTACTAGTAGTGATAAGGTTAGTGTGTCGGTATGAACACTCATGATTAAGTGAATGATCTTACAACAATTTCAAGCCATATTATAGTCAGCAGTCATGTGCAAGATAGATGCATGCATCCACGCATCAAATGTTGTTGCAATCGATCCATCATCATGATCTGGCAGGGATTCACGAACAAAGTCGAGCATTGTTTGATTGAGAGTGATTTGAATCTCATCAAAACATGTATGGCATAACATCGGTATGGGTTCAGGCTGCTGGCACCTTAGCAGGTCGTCAACATATCATGTGAGGAAAAACGCACTTTCCAATCAGAAGCACTACTCATTAGGACAGAATGGATATATCAATCTGGGAGATCATGCTTGAATCGTATCTGAGCAAAATTTAACAGACAAAACCGGTCAAACAAAGCACAATTAGACCCACTATAATAGTCCAATCACCATGTGGCATGAGGTCAGAGCCTGTAGCAAACCACATAAAGGAATGTGACCTAAGTAAATGGCTTCCTGCATCAAGTTGGTGACAATCAAGAGCAATGATGTTAGGGCCCAGTGTTGGATGCTCTGGGTGACCAGTTCCTGTAAGATAGCATTGTAACTTCTGGATAAAAAGTGTCTTGATTTCCTTGTCAAATGACACTGCTTGCAATATCTGACTGCTAGAAGCTCCCTTGTTGATGCAGGAGTCATCGGCACTGATAAAAGCAAGATGAGCAATAATATCCTCAGGGCACGTTACAGTGCGGCCATAAGCTATTGGAATGAGTGTTTTGTAGTTTTTTTGATAGGGTCTATAGAACATTGATTAATAACACTGTAGATGAAAGTGAAGGACAAACTTACATCACAGATACAATTACCATTGGTACCAGCACCAACATGCATGTTGAATCCTTTTTTGAAGTTGCGCAAGTCAGCAACATCATCAATCACAGGGCAACCAAGCAGGATTGACGCAAACATCTGCTTTGTGATGTTCTCCCACTCCTCAGCAGACTGTGTATACAAGGTCAGCGATTAAGATCAACAACTGTGAGTCAGAGGTAGTCACACACTGTAAGCTCTAGGTGTTACATAAGCATTGATGCAACAGCACCACAGAGTGATAGGTTAATATTTGCCTCATAGGTTTGTGGCCATCATTGTAACATAGTAGCCTTTGATGGCAGTACAAGGTCAATGAGCTTGAGGTCGAACAATGCTTCCCAGCTACCAATCACAAACAGAAGGATGGCAGGGGACAAAGGCACAGGGCTGTGGCCTGTGATGAAAAGATGGGTCGCTGCAAAAAAGCCTAAGACCTGGAAACTAATCAATTGTGCTGGAATGATTGAGTTGGTGCAGAGGTTAAGGTTATAATATCCAGTGTCTCCGTCAGCTCCTCCTTTTAAAAGCTTCTGATCATGGCAGACTTCCTTCATAGATGTTTGCAGAACAGAACACTCTATGCCACCACCTACAGCATACCCTCTAAATGATAGATCAGTATGATAAGTCAAATCACAAATGAGTATAACATACATGCTCCAGGTGCGCTCTGGGTGAAATATATTGCAAATGTCAAAGTTCAATGGGATTGTGACATGCTTGGGTAGGTAGACTGGCAATCCTTCCAACTTGCTATGGACAAATGATGCAAAACCCATGGCAGTCGTCTGAAGGTCCGGGCCCTCGAGCATGAGCATTAAAACATTGGTAATATCGGAGGAGTCAGGTTTTGAGGGGACAAGGGGGGAAATATCCCGTCCATCAGGTAACACAGGACTCCACAAGCAGTTGATAATATTCTGTTGCCATTCAGCAAAAACCGTCTCAGCATCTTCAAGAAGTGCTGTAAGCAGGGTGGAGTCCCTGACTGGAATACTTTGGTGGGGTTGTGGCGACAGAAGTAAAGGGCTCAATAAAGATGGAAGGGAAGACATTGAAGCAAGTGATGATACAGATGATGAGAGCAATGATGTCGAAGTGAGCAATAATGTGGATGATGAGCCTGAGGACAATTGTAAAGTTGATGGCAAAAAGTGAGGCAACATTTGAAAGGAGGATGTATCACCCAATCCTGGCAGGCCACCATGACTAGCAGCTTTGTCCTGTAGGTGAATAAAATCAATTCTTTGTGACCCAATGATATTATTTGATACATACCGAAATGTTGGGGCAAAAGTCAAAACACATTAGGTTATCTGAGTCCTCGACCAGCACAGCTGTCTTGAAGGTATCAAAGACACGACTGGCGAGACATGTATGCCTGCCAGCTTGGAGTGACAGAGGGAGCAGAAGACTGCCCGTAATGTTAGCAATGGTCGGACCTATGGCAGAAATTAATATATCACCAAACATTAAAGTTAGCACGAAACATACTACACCAGAGAACTGGGAAGTTCTCAGAAGAACTAGGGTTTGGTATAAACTTCGCACATTTTCTGAGGTACTCAAGTGTGATGAGGCGCCCAGGAAGGTCACAAGCACTCATCTTCTGACTTCCATTCTTTTGATAACCAGCTTGCAAGAATTGATAAGCTTCAAAATAAAAGTCACATTCAGAACGGTGTTCTTCTGGTGGAAGTGCAAGGGTTAAGTCGTAGGACGCTAGGTGCAAAGTCATTTGAGAACTGATCTGTTGCCACACAGGTTCATTGGCAGTGGTTGAATGTACTACGACAAGAAAAGACAGGTTGTATTCCTGCAGGCGATGTTATGTGACTGAAAAAAAAACTCAAAACACCCTGAGATCTGAGAGCAGGAAATGACATTAATGTTGGCTAAGGTGCATTTGGACAATGACTCCGGGTTCAAAATTCCTGGTTCAAACCGTACATGATGACCACATGTGATAGATTCAGATAGCGTGATAGATAGATAATCGATAGTATGTAATAATGTAGCATATGTATGTGTGTCATATCCATCACTGCAGCGCTGCACCTCATGGATCTCAAAGCGCAAATGCAACACGATCAGCGATGCAAAATCATAGTTATTATCATTACTATTGTGATCGCTCAAGTCACACATCTATACCATCTTTTATTCTTATCCTGCGCTGAAAGAATTCCTTATCATACATCTATCCTTACCAGCCAAGCATGGGTATATGAACTGATCAGTGGTCACCCAGACAGGATCAGACACAATTTCAGTGTCGACCTTCAAATTTTTGATGAGCTGTTAGCGGTTCTTAACCGACACGGCTTCATCCAGTCCCAGAATGGGGTAACCGTGTCAGAGCAACTTGGTATTTTTTTGTACATGTGTGTTACTGGACTCTCGTCTCGTCACGTCGGAGAAAGATTCCAGTGATCTCCTGACACAATTACAAGGTAAGTATGCCTAACTTTTGATATAACTAATAGTGTGCTGATTTTTGCAGCTATTTTAAACACATGCTCATGTTCTTTTCATCAGCTCCCTTCTACACCTCGAATGTCCGCTTCCTGGATCACAACACCCCACTTTCTGCAGCAATTCACGCTGACCCAAGATTCCAATTCTTCGATCACTGCATCGGTGCTGTTGACGGCACCCACATCCGCATTTTTGCGCCGCTTGAAGACCATGTTGTCCTGTGCAACCGGAAAGGCTTTCTATCGCAGAACTGCCTGTTCATCTGCGACCTCAATTTTTTTTTCATTTACTCGCTCACAGAGTGGGACAGCTCAGTTGCCAATGCTTTCCTTTGGAATGATGCATGCTCTTATGATTTGCGCATGCCCGAACACAAGTACCTTCTAGCTGACACTGGCTTTGGTACATGTGACGTGCTTCTCGTGCCTTATTGAGGTGTGCACTACCACCTGAAGGAATGGCGTCAAGCTAATCTCGCATGAGTTCATTTTTTATTCTTAGTCTGTCTGTCTATTAATTTTTTTCTAGGCCTAAAGACCCAAAAGAGTTGTTCAACTTGCGACACGCTGCATTGCGCAACATCATCGAACAGATATTTGGCGTTATGAAGTGGCAATGGTGCATTTTGATATGCGTGCCTGAATACTCCATGGATATCCAGTCCCGCATCCCAGCGGCGCTTTGTGCCATTCACAACTTCATGCGAAGAACCAACAGTGATATATTTTATCTTGCCCTTGAGTATGGGCAAGATCTTGCAGAGGATGATGATGTTGGATCTGGTGCACATTCAGAGGGACCGGCGGATGCTGCTGAGCGCAGACACGCAGACACTCGTAGGGATGGAATTGCGCAAGCAATGTGGACTGATTATCTCACAGAATGTGCATGAAGGGGACTCCCATTGCCATAGTTGTAGGTGATACATGAATTCTGTACTACAAAATGATCTGTATGCCGCTATGACACAATCACATATTCTTGTGAGTCCACTGATCATTGTGGTGCACTGCTGCAAAGCACTCGCTTCTCTTCCAACCACTCAAGCCTCATCACCTCATCCAACGAGTAGAAAATGATAGCCTGGGTCTTGTGTTCACCTAGAAAGTCGGCAATGCCCAAGCGCTCTTTGCTCGTGAGGTTTGTATATTTATTGAGGAGGGAAATGGCGCTCCCAACATGTGTGGAAGACTGTGGCTGCACTGGGGCTAACATAAGATTCTTCTGCATCTCACGCACTACTTTGACAAGGCTCTTCATCGTTTCCATACCCTCCTGCTGTGCCAATAGCATGGCAGATGGTGGCCGACTTCGCTTCTGGGAGCCTGCAACTGACGCAGGAGAAAGTGCACTGTATTTTCGCTTTCCACGGCTTATGCTTGTCTATGCTGAGCCACCGGCAGAGGTAGACCCTTCAGTGGAAGGAGTGAGAAAGGTAGATGGAGGAATAGGTGGCTCAAGGTCCATTGAGGATGGTTGTCATATCCTGTATTCCGGACCTACATCCGACAATGTTCCCATGCCTCATCCAGACTAGGGATGGATGGGGGTATGAGGGACCCTTGAAGGGTAAGGGGTAAGGGTACTTGAGGGTAGGGGTGTGGGTTTGGATCTTGAGACCCCTGTACCCCTGGGCCTAGGCATAATATATCCCTAAATTGATTATCATAGGGCCACTGGGAGTGATGGATAAGTATAAAATTTTGAAGTTGTCAACAGTACAATGCTTATTGGGCTTATTGTGATCTTATATTGTGAGTTTTTTATTATTTGAGTAAGATATAAGTAAAATCTATGTCTCTTCTAGCCTAGATGGTGACAATACCCCTGTACCCTTATGATATCCTTGTACCCTTATAATACCCCAGGGTATACCCCTACCCTTGGTCCAGGGGTAAGACCCTCCAGGGGTAGGGGTGTGGGTAGGGCTCATGGTACCCCGGGGTTTACCCCTGTCCATCCCTAATCTGGACCTTCGGACGCCCTATCCATGTCTCCAGTCCTCTATCTGTTCGGATCCCTGCACCTCTGCATATCCACCCATCCAGATCCCTTCACCTCTGTACATCAGACCTCCATACCTCCGCAGCTAGCCTGCATCATTCATCCTTTGTCCCATCACCCTAATGTTATATCCCGTATATCCATGCTTCCCGTCCAGACCTCCGGATCTGATCCAATCCAATTCAATCTGATATATGATAAGCTTCTTAGTTCATTTCCTGTGCATATAACGTTAACACAGCCTATTCCTCTATTCAGTATTCCTTGTCCTTGGTATCTCGGTTATACTTACTACTGGTATGCTTACTGATCTGTTAACCTATGCTTCATTTCCGACTCGTGCTTGATAAACTTTGCTTATGCTTCATACATAGCCTCGGACTCTTGCTTACTGATCTTTCCGTTATTTCCTTAGTATATAAACTCTTGTATATGTCCTATAGTTCCTCAGTCTGAATATCATATTAGTCCTCGCACTAGATCTCACTCTAAATTCTCATATCAGTTCTAGTCTTCCGACTTAGTCAATATCCATCTCAGGCCTAGGGAGAAATTCCCTAGGCCAGAGCTCTGCTTATCCGATACTCCGCTCATCCGCTCATCCGATCCTCTGAAGTTTCCAGAAGTTCATCCGGATTTTTCCTGTGGTCCTCCGGACCTATTCTGCTTCGGACTGTGTCCTTGCAGCCTTTCCTCTGTTTGCTTCTACTCAGGACGTGTCCTGAGTAGCCATTATACATATCCGTATCAGGACGAAACCTCATTGTAATTTCCGAAAGTTCCTCCAGAACTTTCCTGCACTCATCCGGAAGTTACTTGCACTCGTCCAGAAAGTCCATCCGAAGTTTCCCACGCTCCTTCGGAAGTCCTTTGGACATCTTCGGACTTCCTCTGGACATCATTCTAAAATTAAGGGCACATACTCAGGTAAGGGGCACAGCACACGAGCTGAAGCCAAGCCCCTCAGAATCAGTCCTACTCTTTGTGCATGGTCTTAACAATGGTGGCGCTGAGGATGGTGGCAGCCCTAGAAGTGCATTATCTGTGGCTGGGGGAATGGAGGATAGTGTGTTGTCATTGGCGACGGTGGTAGTAGGTCGGAAGACGTATGAGCCTTTCGACTTGGTTGGCATCAACTGCTGCATGATCTCAAAGTGGTTGAAGCCCTTTGCCATGAAGGGCTTTGTGTGAGGATGTGACTAAAAACAATGTCAGTAGAGGGGCATGCATGCAGTCTATTGCGATGACTTACCTTTGTAAAGCGCTGTAGAGACTTGCGTGTCTCAATGCCAAATATGCGCCCCTTTACCCACATAACTTTCATATGTTCCAGCTCTTATCCATAGGATCAGTCTTGCGCGCACTTCGCGCACGCGTTCACGCGCCTCACCCTAGGTCTTCACGCTCCTGTCCGTCCTACGTCCTTGCTGATTTACTGGTGCGTTATTCTTATCAGTCTCATTGAATTAATGTATCATCGGTCCGATTTCCGCGCTTACACGCAGAACACCTATCTTGGGCTTTAGAATATATTTAGTGTTGATATAGTTACTCGGCTCGGTACTGCGCTCGGACGCGCCACATAGCATAATTCTCGGGCGCAACTCCCCTTCTTAAAAAGAGGGAAGGTTCTTTAGGACGAGTTTGTACTTTCCCCTTATCTGAGTATACTGCAAAAGTGTATATTCCACCTCAGCACTTGAAATCTGATTATACTCCTTTATCAATTATCATCTGTGCTTCTGCTATCTCCTCGAAGACTCTTTCGCTTATTGCTTGAAGCACGCCTCAGCCTACGCACATGCTACCATCACACCTCTCGCTCATGCGCGCCTCTCGCATGCCTTCACCTCGCTTACGCGCGCCTTTGTGCGCATTACCTTCTCGTGCCTACTAAGCGCCCACCTAGTTGACAGAGTTTCCCTCCATTTTATTAGCAAGGAACTTCTCTCAGTAGCTGTCCTTTGGGTCAAGTCGTATTCTCATATCCAGGTCTTGCTGTAGAGTCCCCTTTGATTTTTATAGTTTTCACCTATAGTCAAGATTCCTCACCTTCAGCACACCCAGACATCATCCTTTCTGTCCGTTGAAGGTGAGAAATCTTGACTGTGGGTGAAAACACTAAAAGAAAGGGGGCTCTACAGCAAGACCTGGATACGAGAATACAACTCGACCCAAAGGACAGCTACTGAGAGAAGTTCCTCGCGAATAAGGTGGAGGGAAACTCTGTCAACTAGACGGGTGCTGGTAGACGCG